TGAGGGAGGGAGCCGTGGCACCTGAGGGGATGGAGGAAATGGCCTCGTGTCAGAGGCTGAGATTCCAAGAGGCAGAGGTAGGAAGGGAGGGCATTCCAACAATAGGGAGCAGCTTGGGCAAAGATTTGAAGGCGGGCTGTGTGGAATGTTGTGTATTGGAAACAGCACACAAGCCAGACTGGCTACAAGTGAAAGTCCACGAGGGGGAGGCCATGTGGAAAAAGCCCAGAAAGATCATTGAGGCCAGATGGCAAAGGATTTAAATGCCGGACAGAGATGTTTGTATTTTACTGGAGAGGCAAAAGGAAGCTAGTGAAGCTTCTGGAGCAGGGGAGCGACATGGTCAGATGTAGAGCCAGGGTCCTTGACTTCAGATCCCATCTCCACCACTTACTAGCTTGTGTGACCATGGACAAGTCACTTACGTGCTGCAGGCCTCAGTTTCTTCATTGGGATAAGTAGTGGTTTGGACAAGAAGACTAATATGGTCTGTTTCAGCTTCAAATCCATGATCCTATAATCTGTCCTTCAGGAATGAAAGAAAGTTATGAGGCAAAGTGAGAATTCTTGACAATGAGAAGTATCCTTGAGTGGAATTGGCTGTCTGAAACATTCACCCCCATCGGAAGTCTTCAAGCAGAGGACTCCCAACATGCCCCGGTGGAGACTTCCATAGAGATGGGTTGGACTGGGTAGCTGCTGAGCTAAGATACCTCCCAACTTCAGATCTGTGATTCTGTAATATCAGTTGATTCAGTGGCTATGTGAAGGATGGACTGAAGAAGGGGGAGTCTGGAAAGCAGATGCATTAGAAGGTGCTCGCAATAAATCCAGGTAAGAGGCAATGAGGACCTGAACCAGAGTGGTTGTGGTGTAAGGGGAGAAAAGGATTCTCAAGATGTTATTGAAGGAGAGCCAATCAAATTTGCTATTGTTGATTGGCTATAGGGTGAGAGAGAGAGAGAGAGAGAGAGAAGGAAAAGTCAAGGATAACTCCAAGATTGTGAATCTGGGAGAATGGAAGGATAGCCGTACCCTCAGTGAAAATGGCAAAGTTAAAGCCATTTCCCAATAGAGTAGTCAAAGGAATGAACTAATAGTTCTGAAAAGAAGAATCACGCCCTATTAACAGTCACATGAAAGAATTCTCCATTTCACAAATAGTAAAAGAAATGCCCATTTTAAAAAACCCTCAGAAAATTGGCAAAGACGACAAAGAACAGGAGGAGTGCATGGTAGAATGGTTGTGAGACAGGTAGAATTTATTTTTATAATTCCAAATTGCTTTCACACAATTCACACCTCCAAAACCAGCTGTTAGAACTGTGAATTGGCACAAGCGTTATGGAAAGCCATTTGGAATTATGCAAATAAAATGACTGAAATGCCCATACCCTTTAACCCAGAGATTTCTGCCATTAGGCATATACCTCAAGGAAGTCATTGACAAAAAAAAAGACTCCATATGCCCTAAACCATTCATAGCACTGCTTTTTATGGCAGCAAAGAATTAGAACCCAAGTAGATGGCCATTGGTTGTGGGGGTGCTAAACCTGTCATGACTGTAATGGACTATTGCCGTATGAAATGATGAGCGTGATGAATAGGGGAAAGTGTGGAAAGACGTACATGACCATAGTGATGCAAAGGGGAGCCCGGAGAGCAATACACACAGTGACAACAGCAGCGCCAACCGGCGCAAAACAAGCAGAGCTGATGCTGTACGAGGTCAGATGCTGGAGCATCGGGGGGGGCGGGGCGCCACAGCTGCAGAACGCTGCATATCACGTCATATGAGTTGATGGGGTTTGCTGATTTTTTGTCTCTTTTTAAAAAAATTCTTTGTCATTTATAAGGGATGGCTATCTGGGAGGGGAAAGAAGAAAATCTAGGTGATGTGAAAGCAAAAGAGAACAATCTATTTTTAAAAAGAAAATGAGGGAGTTAGGAGGGGTGGGCTTTGGGGGAGACTGATCACATGCATTTCACTTGAGCCGTACCTGAGGCATGGTGCATGGGGAGCTCCTTTGTTTCTGAGGATGCTTTTCTTTACAACAGTCAGCCCTCAGTGTCAGCACTGCATTATTGCCAAGTTGGCTGCTTAGCAAACTTCTGTTCATCCAAGTTCCTCTTGCCATAGATTCCCATTTTAACCTGGAATGTAGATACTCAGTCTGTTCTAAGAAGGAAACGGAAATGTGGCCTCCTTGCTTCTGGGAAAAGCCTTCAGAGCTCTGCTTCCTGGCTTCCCTCTTGTAACTGTGCCTGTCGGGGAGGCTCGCCATTATGGCTTCATGGTGTACAGTATGTTGTCTATGTATGTGGGGTGTATGGGTGCTCCCAGAGGACCAGCAGCTCTGGTGTGAGGGCTGCTGAGCCTCTTCAGGGCTGCTCATCCACCTCTGGTGCCCACCTGTCACCCAGCTCTCGCCTGTGGCTCCAAGAAGCTATAGTGTGTGCAGTGGCCACACCCCGGTAAAAGTGTCCTGGCAGATGGGCAAAACCTGGCTGACAGGGAGCAGCAGGCCTCAGACATGTAGGTGGATTAGAGGAGCGTCCACCCCAAGCGTGTGAAGACCTCCTGGAGGAATGGGTGCATGAGAACAGCTTGTGCCGACGTCCATGAAGATGGCTGGAGCAGGCGGTGTGGAGCACGTGGAGCTTGGCCAACCATCCGAGACGCCAAGGTCCACTGCCTCCCAGGCCATTGCCAGACATCCTGACTTGTCTTGCTATTGGACTTCAATGACTGGAAGAAGGAGTGAGGTGCAAGACTTTGTGCAGCTCTGCCTCACTTCAATCCGAGTCATGTACAGGTCGAGACACCAGCCTGTGACATCCTCAGTCCTCCTTGAAACGAAGGATGGTTGTTGTCGTCAGCGCCTGGAACTTCATCCGCGCGTTCATTCACACACTCACTCATCCAGGTGCATTGTCACTCAGTGCAGCACAAGAGCAGAGCACTAGGGAATCCTCTTTTCGTGGGTTGTGTCTCCGTCTGAGCAGCTGGACCATCAGCTCACTCGGAGGTGGCCATTTGTGCTCCTGTGAGGTCCACTCTGTGAGTCCTCTTTACCAAGCTACCCTCCCGTGTGACGTCAGCCCCCTCTGAGCCTCTGAAGAGCTCTTCATTTGTCCTGCGATCCTGCAGACACTCCTTGTCCTTGGGGCTCCAGAGAAATGACGGCTCGGTTCCTGTGGCATGTACACGCGGCTCTTCTGCAGTGGTCGTCATCATAGCTGAGAAGTAAATGAACAAGGGGCAGCGTGCAGCCTATTTATATTCCGCTCCCGAAAGTTTATGGGAGCGCTCTGTGATCTTAAGCACTATGTAATTAGAGGACATACATCCAGTAAAGTCTCATTCTGGCACCTCATCCTGGCACAGGGGTCAGACCCTGGGCTTCCAGGTCTTGGGAGGCTGTCCGTGAAGGAGAACCATCCACGGCAACTCTTCCGGATCTGTAGAGGCCAGAAGGAGGAACCCAGCACTGGACAGCAACTCGGCTGCCAGTGTCAGCAGGAGGGCCCGTATCAGTGAAGTCATAGTAGCACTCTCAGAGCATTGGAGAAGCAAATGGTTTAGTCTCTAAGCCATTCAGCATTTATTAAGCACAAGTCCACTTACCGTGGCAGTACGCTCTCCAGGGCTGTCCACGTAGATGATGAGGTTGATGCACACATTGCCAGAGCTGGCTCAGGGTTTGGGAGGCTCCGAAGGAAAGTGGGGGAGGGAAGAGGGATTAGACCGCCTACCAGACTGAAGGTCTGCAGAGTCGTCGCACTGACCTCATTGTTGCATGCCTGTGAAACCTGGACAGTCTGCCAGCGTCATGCCAGGAAACCGAATCGCCTCCATGTGAGTTGTCTTAGGAAGATTCCGCAGATCCCCTGGCAGGATAGAATATTGGACACTGAGGTCCTTTCTTGAACTAACCTGCCAAGCATTCAAACTCTGCTGCGGAGAGTGCAACTCCAATGTGCTGGCCGCATTGTTTGAATGCCAAACTTATGTTTGCCTAAAAGACTACTTTACCAAAAACTCACACGAGGCAAGCACACACGGAGGTCAGAAGAAGAAATGCAAGGACACTCTCAAGTTCTCTCTGAGGAACTTTGGAAGTTTAGGGGAGATGCTGGCACAGGACCACCCAGCATGGTGTGCCCACGGCAAAGAAAGTGCTGTGTTCTATAAGCAAAGCAGAATTGCAGTAGCTCAGAAGAAATGTGAGATGCTCAAATTTAGACGTCTCCATTCCAAATGTTCAAATGGACTATTTGTGGCCAACCTGTGGGACAGCCTTCGTAGCTTGTACTGGTCTGATCAGCCACAGTCAGACACACTGTACCTTGACCCTTATGTAGTGATGTCATTTTGGTCCTCTTCAAGCACAAAGGACAATAACCAGTAAGCACCCACTGTGTACACATGGCTGTATAGCAATATTTTGAAGCTTCAACATATCTTAAATTGAAACGACATATAGTCCTAATAAAGGTTCTTGGTTTTGTTCTTTTTACAAAACACATTTTGATTTTTTTTGAATTTTCAGTCATTTTTATTCACCATATTTATCACATGGAACCTCTAGTTAGTTTGCTAAACTGAGCAATACTGGTGGTTAAGTCACCAGTTTCAACAGAGCTCACATAGAAGGAGGCAGGAGACGGAGATTCCAGAATCACAGTTGGATTAGAGAGAGCAGCTAGCGTGGAGACCAGCAAGGTCAATCCCATTACCTTACCAGTGAGAAAAAAACTGACCTTGCTAAGGGGGGCTTCCCTCTCACACCAATGCCAGCATCTACCACTCACCCATAGAACCCAACGAGGCGGCGGCGGAGTTATCGGCTTTCCGACTCCTCTCAGGTTTGCTTGCATCGCATTCAGTTGTGCAGAATCACAGCGTCTCAGGGTGAGACGTCCAAGGCAGGGAAAGCTGTGGCGGCAGCCTCATGTGGGAGCTGATGTGTTTTCACTCTTCTTATCATTTGACACAGGTCTAGATATGGAAGAAGGGAAAGAAGGAGGGTCATGGCTTGGAATCAGTAAGAAAGGAAAGTTGGCAGCCCTGACAAATTACATGCAACCGAAGCTTGATAAAGACGCCAAAGGCAGAGGTACGATGCGGAAAGGCTCTGGATGGCGGTGCGTGTTGTTAAAAAAAAAAAGCCTTCTAATAATAGCAGGCATTAAGATGCCGATTTAAGTTTACAAACCACTTTCCATCTCCTTGTTCCCCCTGAGATGCATCCTGCAGGTGTTGCTAGATCCTCATTTCCAGATGGGGAAACTGAGGCCCATGGCCACACACCTAGCACATGTCAGAGTAAAGCTGTGAACCACCATTCTACCTGGAGCTCAAGTCCATTACCTGTTCTGTTACATCATGTGCTGCCTCAACTCCCTTTAAAAAAACAAAACTCTTTTCCCTATTCTGTCAGCTCAGATTGGAAAAGCGTCATGTCACTGGCAGTACCCTGCTCCAAGGACGGGGACCTAGGAAGCAAGCTCAGTGATACAGGCTTACACAATCATAGATTCAGAACTGGAAGATACCTTGGAAGTCATTGAGTCCAGCCCTCTCCTTTTATTTACAGATGAGGAAACTGAGACAGACAGTGAGTTGAAGTGACTTGCCCAGGGTTACACAGCTAGTAAATGCCTGAGGCTAGATTTGAAATCAGGTCTTCCTGACTCAAGGCCCAGCGCTCTGTCCACTGCACCACTCTATAGTGGGTGAAAGGATGCTAGAATGTGTCTGATAAGATCAAGCTCCTTCGCTGCTCACCTCCCGTACAGATACATGCTGTGGATGGGAGTTCAGGAGTAGCCAAAGCCCTTGGCTAGACCAAAGCCAGCTGTTAATGACGCTGCTCACAGGTTCCTTGAGTTGTGTCAAGAGGAAAACCGAGAGCAGACCATTACCACCCCATTCCTTGCAGCCTGTGCCCCATTTCTCTGCCACCGCTCACTGCACTGACCCTCCGCCTCACCACAGAGTGCTGGTTTTCACCTCAGCAGCCCTTGTGCCTCAGGCCCCTTCTTCCTCTCTGGCATCTCTAAAGACCCCATGTGGAAGGCCCATGCAGTGCCTGTCTGGGGGCTCAGAGCTATGTGGAGCAGGCCTCATGCCTAACCCTAACCCTAATTGCACCTCCCGACCACGCCCTGGTGTCTACACCAGCTCCTCGCTAAAGCCCTTGGTGCCCTGTGAGAATCCTTACAAGCATTTTGAGATTTGTCGTCCGCGCACTCTTAGTTAAGAGATTTTACAGTTTGTGCTGGTAATCTCAAAGGCAGAATGAAGAATGCCCAAGCTAAGTAGGGAAGGGAAAGAAAAGAGACACTCAGGTCCCTTGAGGAGTTCCTTGTCCTTTTCTGAATCAGAGCAGCCAAGGTCTCAGCCCCTGGGGACAGCCTCTTGTCAGCTCTTATCTTCTAAGAAGACTCTCTGCCAGCCCCTGGTTAGGAGTCCTGGGCTGTACGTGGCTGCTCTAGGAAGGGCTGAGGGACAGCTCAGCCTCGGGGCCAGCTTGTGAGACTGATTCTATCACTGAGGCAGTGGAGGACCCTGCCATGTCAGCCCAGCCCTCTCAACCTGTTTCCTCATCTACAGAATGAGCATAATTATCCCTCCCTTGCCGATGGCCCAGGGTTATTGTGAGAATCAGAGAAGGGACAAATGTCAGAGCTCTCTAGAAAGTATGAAGAACTTTTTGAGCCTAAGTGCCTCACTCTGCTATCATTCCAATGGCCGTCCTGTTCCTTCAAGTTTCTCATGTGCCTGCCGGGCTCGCAGCTTCCTGTCCGTAATCCAGTGAGCTTCTAAGGTCTTTTCTGACTGTGACTCTCGGGTCCCACCATCCCTGCTATTCCTCAGGGCCCAGCCCCGCCTGCTTCATCTGGGGGATTGGAGGGGGTTGGGGGGGGCCCAGAATCCTGCTCATTCATTCTGTTCTTCCCTTCCCTGTAGGTGAGCTCGTAACCCACTTCCTAACCACGGACATGGACAGCTTCTCCTACCTGAAAAAAATCTCCTCAGAAGCACACCTGTACAACGGCTTTAACTTGATAACTGCCGATTTAAAGTAAGTCTGTACTGTGAGCGAGCTCAGCGATGCGCAGGGGAAGGTTGGCAAAGGGCGGCGGCGGCAGGGCGGCCCGAGGCGCGGGGCCGGGCTCTGCCTCCACGCTGGAGTCCACGCACTCCCTGCTTTCCCTGGTCAGACAGAATATCCAACGAAGGGGCGTTTAGACCAAGCAGAAGAGGAAAACCCGGCCACCTCTGCCTCCCCAGGGACAGAATCCACATCTGACCAAGAATCCCTTGCACAACATCCCCCACGGAAAGGCTCTCACGGTTAGGAAGCTTTTCCTGCCACTTGAATTTGCTATGTGCAAGACTTCTTGCCGCCCCAGGGCCAGCAGAACAAGGACAGGCCTCCAGATGCCGCAGGGCTAAAGCGCACGTTCTCCTGTCCTGGTTCTCCCGCTTCGAATGTGCTCCGGCGCGTGCCCCCCCAGCATGGCCTCTCTGGACGTGCAGTAGCTAGTCCTCCCCCCCCCTTTCCCCCGTCCCGCCCCGACTTGGTCCTTTCCAGTTCTGCTTTGGAAACGCTTTTTAGAGTTTTTCTGTTTGCGCCTTAAAGTCTGACTTCTTTTACAATTAACATCCTCAAGAGTTTCTCTACATCCCCTCCTCAATTACTGTTTCACCTTCATTGATTTCCGGGGCTCCAGGGGAGCCATAATACTAAAGAGGAAACATCGAGGCAGCACAAGTAAAACCCAGCACTTTCACTGGCTGAAGCTGCCGCCAAGTCGGTGTCTTCCAGAGCGTCCACAGCCCCGATGACCCTAGCCCTCCTTCGGCTTACATCCTAATAGGGCCGGCAGACGCAGAAAGAGAATTCCTACAGAATTAGGCGCCCTGGACGTCATCCCTGACGGCAAGGGGATGTCAGCTGGAAAGGGAAGTGAAGCCTGCGCTGCTGATCCTGCCTGGGGGAGGGGTTGGGGGGGGTGGAGACCCGCCACAATCAGGCTTTCCCAAGTCGGTGGCGATGATTTCCACTTCACAAAGCGCTATTCCAACAGTGGTCACTTTCCTTCAGGGGTCAAAGAGCAACCCGAGGTCCAGCAAGAAGGAAGAGGTGTGCACACGCGCTCAAGGGCCTGGACAGTGCCACTAGCAGGCTTAGGCCCACAGGCCTTGGGAATTCTCTCTCTTCTCCTGAGGCTAGAGTGGAAGCAGATCTTCTCTTTGGGCAGCAGAGGGCAGAGCTATTCAGCTCACCTCTGGGGCTGCTCAGGCACATAGTAGGTGCTTCACCAATGCTTCTTCCCCTTGGACAAGGTTGGATGGTAACCTGGTGCTATTGCTCTGAGGGATGCTTCTGAGTGGGCGTTGTTAAAATCAGTGGCGCGTTCTCACTTTGTAGACATTCTTCTTGACAGATGTCCCTCTCCCCCAGGTTCATGTGCTTGCTCTCTCTTTCCCTCTGTTTCAAGCAAAGCTGTCCATTTGTTCACTGGGGCTCAGACAGCCAAGTGTCCTATGATGTCCATTGCCAGCTACTCTGCTTGTCCCTTTGATCCCCGCCATTCCTCTTGTGGATTTCCCCCACTATCATCCCCTGTCTCTAATTTTCAGTCTCTCCTATTTCCTAGCACCTTCCCTGCCCATCACCTGGTGGCATACTTTTTCTCTTCTGAACTAACCTCTTGATTTCTTGACCTCCAGTCCGAGGGACCAGGGTAGGAAGACTTACTGTGGGGAGGATCTTAGGACCTCTGGATTGAGGAATCCCCCAACATAATCAGCAAATAACCAGTATATACCATGTGCCAAGCCCTTTTCAGGGCTCTTCATCTACCTTCGGGGTCTGCCTGGCACTTACCTCTCACTGTGGCTTCAAGAAAGCTGTAGCATGCGCAGCAGCCACGCCCCAGTGATACTTTCTTAGTAGATAGGCTGAGCCTGGTTGAGGGGTAACTAAAGGGCCTTGCACCTAACTGGTGAGTTAGGGGGGTATCTACTCCAGGCTTTCCTGGCAGAATGGGCAGATGAGAACAATCTGTTTCTATGGTCACAAAGGCAGCTCAAGCTCACGCTGTGGAGAGCTCGGTCAGGCATCTAAGACACAAGGTCTTCCGCTGCATCTCAGGCCGTGGCCAGTCATCCTGACTTTTGTGCTACCACTAGATGAGGATGACTGTGGAAGTGAGTGAGGCCCGTGACTTTGTGCAGCTCTACATCCCTGAAATCCAGTTTATGCACAAGCCAAAACATTGCCTGGTGATGTCAAGGACATACAACCAATAACCAATATTGTCCCTGCTACCCACAAACGAGCAGGAATGGTGCATCCCTCAACAGCCCTCATTTGAGTCTGTCTTCATCACTCAACTGGAAATGCTCTCTCCAGTAGCCAGTGACCTCTTCTTTGTCCAATCTGCTAGCTTTTCTCAGTCCTCATCCTTGACCTCCGCAGCCTTTGACACTGTTGATCACTGTCTCCTGCTCAAAACTCTCTTCTGTCTTGGTCAGGACACCCTCTCTCCTGGTTCTCTTCCTGCTTCTCTGACCACTCCTTCTGCATCTCCTTTGCTAGGTCTCCATCCAGATCAGTAGGTAGTTTCTGTCCTAGACCCTCTTCTGCTCTCTCCTGATTCTTTCACTCAGGGACCTCATCAGTTTAGCACATTCTGTGGTAATCTCTCATGAGATAATTCCCACATTGCTATTCTGTGCCTAGTCTCTCTCCTGGGCTCCAGTTCTGCTTCACCAGATGTTTCTCAGACATTTTGAATTGCGTGTGCCACAGGATCTCAACATGTCCAGAACAGAACCCATCGTGTTCTCCCCCAAATTTACCCTTCCTCCCAGGTTTCCTCTTTCCGTCAAGGGCCCCAAAATCCTCCCAGTCACCTGTGTCTGCAACCCGAAAGTCATTCTTCATTCTTCGTTAGCCTACCTCTCTCCTAATTAGTCTTCCGGCCTCAAATCGTTTCCTGCTCCATCGTCTTCCACGAAGCTGCCAAAGCACATTCCTGGTGTCTGGGTCTGGCCTTGCCGCCCCTCCCTCCCACTCAGGAAGCTCCAGTAGCTCCCTAGCCCTCAAATGCATAGCCTTCTGGGTGGCAGTTAGGGCCCTTCCCAGCCTGTCTCCATCCTCCTTTTGCACAAACTTCTTCCTGTATGCCCAGGTCATCTTCCCCTGTAGAGTGAAGACTCCTCCGAGAGCCAGACGGCCTCCTCAGTGTCTTCGGATCCCTGGAGCCTGGTAACTGCTCTTTGATTGACTGCTTGATCCTGAGTTCCCGTCAGGGTTCAATCTCCAAATCCCTTCTCCCATCACGGGCTGTAACAGTGAGAGGCACAAGGATTCTCATCCGTATTTCACAGGAGAGGAGACTAAGATTCACGATGGTTCCATGCCTTCCACAGACGCAAGGCAACCCCAGCTGAGCCAGGCCTCAACGCAAAGCCTTCTGACCCAAAGGCCAGTTCTCTGTCCAGGCTCCTGGCTGCCTGCAGGTAAGACTTGATGGGATGGTCTGCCCAGGATTTTAGCTGTGAAAACGGGGAGGACGCAAAGTCTAGGAGACCACGTCATTTGAGTGCTGTGGATTGCTCAGGAACAAGGCCACTGAAGTCAGTGACAATTTGGCTACAACTCGGGAGACGATGTCCAAGAGTCTCTGGGTAGTCAGAGCTTCGTGGATCTAGAACTAGAAAACACCTTCAAGGTCACTGAGTCCAGCTTCCTCATTTGATAGGCGAGGCCCCCAAGGCCCTTCCTGACCCCAGACCTGGCGTTCCATCCACGCACCATGTCCCACAGGGCTAGGCAAGGACAGCAGGGACGTGGGGCCTGAGCAATGGGATAAACAGGAAAGCGTTTAACTGAGGAGAAGGAGCCTCTGGTCCGACCGCTCCGATTCTCCTTGGGTGGTTTGGTGAATCGTCAGGTTGCTTCCTTTGCTCCATCCCTAAAGGGAGAGATATGCCTTATGATATCTCCAAGGGTCATTCCAATGCTGGCAATTGGTGGCTCTGAGTTTACTTGATAAAACCTGGCATCCTCAATTAGAAGAGGTGAGCAGGGAAAACAGCCGTCATCTCGTGAATGGCATGATTTTGAGTGATTTTGCATGGAACATTTGAAGACCCGACTAATTAAACAACTAAAGTGATGGCTGTCTTTTGTGGAGGGGCTCCTGGGACTCACAGACCTAGAGACAGGACAGGAGATTACAGAACTGCCGCAGATTTCAAATTGCAACACAGAGTGAATGAGATGAAAGGATGAAGATCAGTGGAGAGTGGGCACGATGGTAATTGAAGGCATTGATGTAACTCTTTGTTGGCAAGTGAAAAAAGGAAGACTTGAAGTCTCTTCACAGTGGTCGCCAGGTCACGTGAATAGGGAGAACCCAAGAGAGTGAAGATTAAGAATGGTTCAGGTTAGGATGGTAGCGACTTTTGGAGTCTCTCATGAGTAGGAAACTATTAAGGATGTAAAATTATACATCAGAGAGACCAAATGAAGCCTGGCCCAGATCAAAGGAGAATTTGAGCTGCATAGCAGTTGGTATCCCCTCCAATAGTGCTTCAGAACATACAAGACCTAAAATTACTTTATAGCTCTCCTCACAGCGGATGGCTAAAGGGCAGGCCCGTCAGCTCCCACAAGACACATGATAATGGGGAATGGCACATCATTAGAACTGCAGCAATCCCATCAATAAGGTGCCTGAGGCCAGGAGTAGAATGAAAAGTGGCTTCATGTTTGTGGCCAGGCCTCTGAGCATTTGCATGGACAATTGTGGAGAATTCATCAATTGCAGGATGTGATAATTGTAACCAGCGTGAGGTGACCAGGGCTTTGCCCCACAGGCGCCATATTGAGAGGGCGTAACTTACCCTTGTAGACCTTTAGTGATGTGGGAACCAGAGACCTTAGTGCACCTTGTTGGCCAGGATGGTGAAAATGAGGAGCCAGCCCATGGCAGGCTGGGGCAGCTCCTGCCACAGCCCCACACCCTGGGCATGGTTTGTGGTACTTGTCTGGCACACAAAGAA